CTCAAGAGAGCAGTTAAGCCCCAAATGATCTCAAGGCATGGTAGTTATTTTCTGCAAGCCTGTAGCTTAAAACCCAGGAGAGCAAAATCTGCGAATGCATAAAATAAGGTATATTTTTACGAACTAAACACTTAGTGTTCTAAATCATCTGAGCTTTCTTCAGCAGTCTACTTGCGAGAAAATAAACTTAGAAATCCAATCAAAGTGGAACGTGAGAAGTGCGCGGTCATTTTCAGTTTACAAACTGACTTTTTCAAGGCCACCGGACATGCAGTTGAGATTAAAGGCTTCGCCGATCGGTGTGATTTGACTATGTTTTGATTGATTCTAGTAAGGTTACAAACGGCTACCGTTATGCCCAGAAATTAATATCAGGAAAGCTAGTAAAATATTCCTTTATAATACCTTTAATCCCCATGAACAATTAGGAAATCTGAAGTTATTTTAGTCAAGTTTGTTTGCAGTAAGCGCTCGCTTTACGATGATAGACAAAAAATTATTAGCACCGAGCATAAAATGGACGTTCTTTTTGAAAGTATCTTATTCGTGTCGACTATATTCTTGAGAATTAATGCACATTATTTTAGAAAATCTGTTTTAGACTAAAACGTTGATAACGACAACATCGGCTATGGAACATAGCCCATAATATTTGCGTCGTGGATATGAGGTTGGATGAAGCCCGAATTATTACATCTTTGCCAGTTATGTTTTCCATAGAGGTATAAAAATGCTCGAACCAGGGAAAAGTGGACAACTAGAAGCGGTGTTTTAAGTAAAATACGAGAAAGTACGTCACTTTTGCGCCTTTGCAACGTATGGGACATGCACAGAACTTCTTTTAACCGGGAGTGGTGACGCTCTGACCAACGGCAAGTGTTGCGAATAGCAAGCAGGTAAGACTATTGAAATTAGTGAGGAATTAAATGGACACACTCCTCCATAGATTACTAACTTGGCTGAATGTGACATAAGAGCCTCCGGGTCGTGCAAACTTTGCTGCGTTTTATGTGCAATTGGCTAACCTTACAACACCGCTATGTTAACCTTCTTGACATTGGTCCGCGTTGATTTCCCTCTAACGCAAATACAAGTGGGCGAACTTCTGAGTACGTCCTTAGATTACATGCAAATGGTCATTCACTTCCTTCAAGAACACAAAACAAATGCTCAATGTACTATTTAGTTCAGGACCTGAAATCGACAAAAACCGGAATGGCAGAGCGATCTTCTTTGGATCTGTTTACCGTTGTCAACCAGTTCTGCTCAGATCCTATTGCGTGAAGAATCGAGGTTTAAACTCAAGTAATTTTGCCAGTTAACTCCAGGGCTATTTCCTTTCAGCTGAGCTCCGGAATACAGGAGGCCATGGCGATCTGACCTGATAGCAAGACAGAGCGTGACATTCTACTGCGCCGTAGAGTTTTACTCAATGCTGACTGACAACGGAGAAGCCAAAAGAGAATGCAATCCAAAAATACTAATTCTGGATTGCCTTGTTCAGTTTTCGAGGAAATTAATTCGTGAACATGGAGTAAAATCTTTGGAAGTGACCTTTTCATGCATGATCCGAAACTTGGTACGAATATTTGAGCTGAAACCCATCAGCTACTGCGCAATAACCGCGTAAAATTCACAGCTCGCCAACAGACAGCCAGCGGTATACAACTGTGTATTCGTTTGCCATGCAGGCGACACAGGTACTAACTAAAAGCCCAAACATGCGTGTTCTGCCAGTCTTGTGCTGCTGCCTGAAACAGCTGTGAGAGTTCCGGCTCATCAATGGGTTCTTCAGTGTTCACCGGGTGTTTTCCGGTATATGAACTCCAGTTTAACCTCACTCTGTTCAATTTCCGAGGAAATTAATGTGTGGACTTGCATGAGATTCTTCGGGGATAACTGGAAAACCCAGTGATGAGCCGAACCCCTCACAGCTGGGTCAGGTAGCGCTACAAGACCGACGAAAAACGCGTGTCTGGGCTTCTAGCTAGTTCCCATGTTGCCACTGCAGTAAACGCAGTGAAAAATTGCAAATTTCAGAGTATTTACGCTCGTCAGCCAGTCGACCCTTCGATGGGACAGTCACAACATTTTTAAAACAGAGTCATTATCCTTGTCCTTGTTTTATCAGTGACGTTATTTATTGATTGTATAAACGCAACTGCATGTTTTCCAGAAAATACACGCCTTCATATCCTTTTCTATCTTAGTTCTATAACTGCCAAACTCAGTTACACTTAAGGAAAGTGTAGGCTTGAAACAATGGCCCGGCGCTGGACATTCACTATCCTTACACCGTAACTTTCGTCCATATCAAACAGGAAATTATTATTTTCCACTTAATTCATCTAAGCTGTTGGCGTCTTATATAACGCAAGGTATAATGCATACCATTTTGTTGATGGCTATTTAAATTTAGCTAACTGCTTTGTGGTCACGATCTAATTTCACCGAAGCTACTGCGGACGGGAGGGACTTATCAAGCGTCAAGGCCATTTGCCTATCCAACTGCCACAAGCTCTGATTCCTTTCTCAAAATTCTTTAGTTTCCCAACCTATAAGGAATAAGAAGACGAGCGCCCAATCTTCTTCGAGTCATTAGCAAGTAAACTATCCACACGTGACAAAAGCCACATACTTATATTTACCTACATTTTTTGGCTTGGCAATGCTCCCCTCACCTATGCAGCACGCTGGCTCATTTTTGTCTTCTTGAAGAGGCTCAGCATATTTCCTTTCCCAGTATGTTCTATTTTCATTCAGGAGTCTCTTCGCCTATTGTGCGTGCTGACTCAGTTTTGTTTTGAAGGGTTCAGTATGCCTTCTGTCCCAGCATGTTCTAATGTCATTCAGAAGTCTTGGCAGGTTCGTGCCTACCGGACCGATGACTCGTCTGCAAGGCTGTGTGCCACATATGTACAGTGCGTGACCGATCTCATGAAATGTTGGCCGAAATTCTGAAATGCGTTTTCGATTTGGAAGGATTACTTAGGTGGGGTTGGAATACTGATTATCATGCGGCATAATCCAGCAATATTTCGGACTTGCCAGGATGTTGGCTTTGAATGAACTTCTTTTCGATCTCCTCAAAACCCACACTTGACAAAAAATGACTACTCAAATGGCATGCACTTTTTGCATTGATTTTCGATGGCCTGAGGAATTGAAATATATTTTATAGAAAATATGCAAAAAATGTGTTTTCTCCTACCTATTTGGTGGAAAATTATGTCTATTTTAAACTTTGTGCTTGAAGACAGGGTACACAGAGGTTTTAAAAAAGTTTTCCAATTCCCGAATAATTGTAAGTCAGATCAGCCGTTGCATCAGCGTTTAGCGATTTCATTCTACAAGGCGCACGCTTTCCGTGTAAGGAAAATAATTTATTCCTCTAGGTCTTTAAGAAGATACTATTTAGAGTTCAGGAAATTTTGCAGTGCGTGCGGACTATGTTGTACATTTCATGAGGAGCAGTGTTAAACAGACAGGTGCGATGCTGTATGAATGTACATTGAACGGTCTTAAAAATCATATAATTAAAAACTTCTTTAAAACATAAATATACCCTGTCTTCATGCATGAAATGTAAAGTAGACGTGATCGGTCATCGTATGAGTAGAAGAAAGCATAGTTATGTGCATGTTTTCCATAAAATATATTTGAATTCCTCAGGCCGTCGTATATCAATGCGAAAAATGCATGCCACTTAAGTACTCATTTTTTACCAAGTGTGGGTTTTGCAGGAGATCGAAAAGAAGTGCATTCAAAGTCAACATCCTGGCAAGTCCGAAATATTACTGGATTATGTCGCATGATAATCAGTATTGCAACCCCACCTAAGTAATCCTTCCAAATCGGAAACGCATTTCAGAATTTCGGTCAAAATTTCATGAGATCGGTCACTCACTGTACATATGTATATGTGCAGGATCTAGAATCACTGGGACAAGAAGTTTATTTGCCTGACGTTTCGGATTCTCACTCGAACCCATCATCAGAGACATTCGCAGGTAGAGGTGAAGGTGGCATCAGGAGTGCAGTATTTATAGCACGTGGCTGCCGTGGGACCGTATGCGCACTGCAATTAACAGTTCTCACAATCGCCGCTGAAGCCGTTATTGATGCGGCGGTGGCTTGGCGGTCCGAGTCCGAGTTGTTAATGGCCGCGATTTCGTCATCCGTGCTCGATGCTGGGGTGACAATTGCTCGGCAAACTGGCTCACTGTCACCGTGATAATTGCTCACCCGCGCCCTCCCCACGTGACTGATTCTCCTGCCCAGGGAAAATCACAATACGGAATCGGGCACCGGGAGGTCATTGTGTTTGTTGATGGATTGCGGGCCTGAGAAGCATGACTCGAGCAGCTCGCGGCTCACGCGGTTGTCACCCCTTGCGAGGATTTCGGACTCTTGAAATTTGAAAATATGGCCGGGTCCCGTCGAGTGTGCCCCCACCGGAGAGTTAGCGTCTCTCCGCCTCACTGCTGCTGCGTGCTCGGCAAGTCGCGTACGGAGTAATCTCCCAGATTCTCCGACATAATGGCTTTGTCCGCAACTACACCAGATCCGGTAAACGACTCCAGACGTTTCCTGCAGTGGCAGCGGGTCTTTTGGCCTCATTACTTGGCGCCTAATGGTTGCTTCCGGCCTGTGTGCAACCCCAACTCCAAGTGGAGTGAGAAGACGACTGACGGCTTCCGAGACGTTTTTCACGTACAGAAGAGCCCACCAAAATTTGAGGCTAGTTGGATTTGGTCTCTGGTGTCCTTTTCGTATGCACTGGTTGACAAAGTTGCGCGGGTAGCCATTGGCTCTCATTACCCGTCGAAGATATTGTAATTCAGCAACCTTGTCTTCCATTTCACTGCAGTGCGTCTCAACACGCCGGTATAGCGCCCTTACGCAACTGCGTTTGTGACTGATCGGGTGGTTGCTATTGAAGTTCAGTGTTTGCGTCGTATTTGTCGCTTTCCTGAACACTTTGGTTTTAGGCCACCACAATGTTTGCGGCAGACGAGGACATCCAGGAAGGCCAGCTGATTGTTTTCCTCCTTCTCCATCGTAAATTGAATGTCCGGGAAGACGGCGTTGAGTTGTTCTTTGAAAGTCAGCACCTGATCCCGTTCGATGACGACGAAGGTGTCATCCACATACCGAGCCCAGAATTTCGGTCAGTGGTGTCGGAAAACCAGCGACTCCAGCCGTTGAAGGACCGCCTCTGCTATGAGTCCCAAAATCGGCGAACCCATTGGCGTTCCCTTCACCTGCTCGTAGATTGTTCCGTCGAATGTAAAGTACGTCTTGAGACAGAACTTCAGGAGCTGGATGATTTGGGCGTGTCCGAGGCGATTCTCCGTTTCGTCGTACTTCTCTCGTAGGAGTAGTTCGATTGTCTCGACTGCCAGGTCCTGCGGGATAGAAGTAAAAAGGGACGTGACATCAGTGCAAACATCGAAAACAGTCTTCGTTACAAATCCCTGTGTCCTTCCTGCGCACAAGGAATGCGTCGTTTACTACAGGCAGCCTCTGTTCCGGCTTTGGTGTGTAAATTCACGAAAAGTTCCCAACAGCCCTACAACCGACCCCAACGCATAGATCAAAAATCTCCGCTAGAAACTGATGCAGTTCAGAAGATGAAGATGCGATCACTCGACGGGACCCGGCCATATTTTCAAATTTCAAGAGTCCGAAATCCTCGCAAGGGGTGACAACCGCGTGAGCCGCGAGCTGCTCGAGTCATGCTTCTCAGGCCCGCAATCCATCAACAAACACAATGACCTCCCGGTGCCCGATTCCGTATTGTGATTTTCCCTGGGCAGGAGAATCAGTCACGTGGGGAGGGCGCGGGTGAGCAATTATCACGGTGACAGTGAGCCAGTTTGCCGAGCAATTGTCACACCAGCATCGAGCACGGATGACGAAATCGCGGCCATTAACAACTCGGACTCGGACCGCCAAGCCACCGCCGCATCAATAACGGCTTCAGCGGCGATTGTGAGAACTGTTAATTGCAGTGCGCATACGGTCCCACGGCAGCCACGTGCTATAAATACTGCACTCCTGATGCCACCTTCACCTCTATCTGCGAATGTCTCTGATGATGGATTTGAGTGAGAATCCGAAACGTCAGGCAAACAAACTTCTTGTCCCAGTGATCGCATCTTCATCTTCTGAACTGCTACCTGGGACTCGCCTGTTCGCTTCTATCAGGGTCTAGAATGATGTCCTCAGATGACGTTCATGTGGTATTTTGCTTGACAGTTCGACCGTCGTTCCCGACAATGTCCACCGAGTGCTCCACAGCATAGTGAAGCAGGGACGATGACTTGTGCGTGGATTAGTTTATAGTGATAGTGAACTTGCACAGCATCTACCACACCCTCCCTTCCCCACCCCCACACCTGATCCGATGTCAAGACACAATCAAGAAGACGGAGGGTGGCTGGCACGGCTGGACCCGCAACTTGGCGTGCCACCATACCTCCTGGTTCACAACAAACATCTGAGCAGGATTTTTCATCATCAACAACAGGACGTGGATAATGACTGTGCAGCCATGCCCACCATCTGTCTACCCAGCGGGAGCGCAAGCGCATCTATCGGCCGGCAAGCAGGTGTCAGGGAACTGCCAGTGCATACCAGGCTGCAAGGACCATGGTTGGCTGATATTGGCGTAGCACACGCTTACAGACCTTTTGACCACAGGCAGTTTGTTCACTACCAGGCGATCAACCCCTGCATCTGCTAGTCTGACTCATACAAAGGAAGGAAGACAGAGAAAAGAGAATCAAATGGTCATTTCTGACTTATTAATCATCGTCAGCCAGTCGTACTTACACTCAGGCTTGGATAGCACGGAACTTGAACCCGGTAATTCTCAGGTTAGCCAAGCCTGGGGTTGGGCATGGCTGGCCGACGACGGTTACTATGCCAGAAGAGACCATCCCTGTCTTGTCTTTGTTCGTTTTTCATCCGGCATCAATACTGATCACCGGGAGACTTCATATAAGAGCGAACGTGCCTCGTAGTCTGATCGGTAAAAGCTCTTTCGACAACAAATCGTCTTATTGCACTTTGGATGTGGTCCAGTTCCTCTCTTCACATTGCGGTCTTCGTAGAGTTTGTCAGGGAAATTCTTGTTATTTATCTCAAGTGATGGAGAAGGACTGATCCCCAAGACGAGTGACCTTGGTTCCTACCTCTCCATTAATGGTTCGCCTACCGGCTGTCAGGCAAACGTAGTTCTGAAACAAGTGCGCGAGCTGATGAAAAGTAAATTTCCCCTGTGGTTCGTCATGTCGCGTGTTTTCTACGTCCGACGTCCAGCCAGTACAGAGATTCAAACTCTGGAATGGTTTGGGGCATTTAAGTGCATGAGCCGCTCGTGACTCGAGTCTTCGGCCTGGTGATGCCATAACACCGATCGTTATTTTTCCTTCTTTGATTGGAGTCGGATGTGGTTTTGTAGCCCCATCCGGAGTAAACAACTCCCAGCCACCTCTAATACGGGACCGGCGGTAATAGGGTTTTTACAGGAGGGGCCGGGGAACGCACAGACGACGAGGTCAAGCAGTTATATGCAAAAGAAAAGCGGCAATGGTATAGAGGAGGAGCCCACTTAACCATCAGTAGATTGCGCATCGTGCCATAAGAGATTTCTAATCAAGGGATTTTTGTGAGTGGGACAGCAAGCTAGACAGTAAGTTGACAGAATGGAAGAAAACACTGAAATTGCCTGGATTTATCCCGAAAGTCCTATTCTACGCTATTGCATGACAGCGGAAATGAGAGTGGTAATTTAACAAGAAAAAAAAGTAAATTTTACAAAATAACAGATTTTGAGCTAAATTGTGAGTTCATGAGAAGCAATCGTTGCTGGCAGTGCAATTTCTGCAACAACCTGCAAATGCATGCCAATATAAAATCCCATATGACACGATCCACAGTCTACTGACAGTAAAGTGGGGTCCTTCTCTGTACCGTTGCCAGAGAAGTTATTGGGAGTGTGTGGTTGTACTTTCAATGGTTAAGAAATAGCTGCATTAACCTCAACCCTAACCCCTAACTATAACCCCTAATTATAAATCCTAACCCTAACCATTAAGGTCAACGCCAACAGTATTGTGTCTATCAGGTGGGGTTGCCAAACAACATTTTACCTTGGTATTGGTTCAGCCGATCATAGCTAAGGGACAAGCTTACACCTTTTACAGAGAAGACAGCAGTAGGACTGACCTATATTACCCACTCAAGAAGGACATGGGAATAGAAAAATCCCGTCCGAGCAATAAAAGTGGACCTGTCCATAATTCCGGAAAGAACAAAATATCTCCTTCCTAATCCCAACAATAACCTTAAGGTAAGACTAAACCGTTACCCTAATCTTGATCCGAACCCTACACTAAACATTAACTCTGTAGTTAACACTAACGCCCATCTTAACCCTAAAATTAACCCTGAGTTGACTTACCGTTAACTATAAGTTTAACCTTAAGTCTTATCCGTACCCTACCCCCAACTTCAAACCTAACCATAATTGCACTATAAGTTAGCTGAAAGCCATCCATATTGCAGGCGGTCCTTATTCCTATGCCCTGCTTAGGAGACCAACAACTGCTGACGCTACCCTCTGACAGCGTGTACGCTCACGGCCAAAGCATGGGTTCTCTTATAAATTCTTCGAAAGACATCTTGTCGTCAACCCATTCCACACCCCTACTAGGGGCAAAAATTAGACAAAACAGTTCACTCTGGACAAGACCACGATGCCCAAGATTAAAAGGTTTCTATTCATGGTTGCTGATGACGTGAGGACTCATTTTGATGGTCTCGGAGTACAAATATTTTACAAATTCGGCAAGAATATGTGCTCCAACTGCCTCAAGAGTGGTCGTCGTCGTTCGGTCGTTCAACTTCGATCTGTTAAAATATTCAACAGACAGGGTGCCCAGTTAAAATCATCCACGTGACCTGAAAAGACCAGATCAAAGGACTATACTGGAGATCATCTTCATGCAACTTTGGCTAAGGCCAGAATGCAAAAGCTTTCATCTAAAGTTTCCTCCGTAACAACTTCTCTAACTCCGAGTGTGGGATATTTGGTTCGGGTAGACGGATGGAGGTCAGTGTGCGGGCTTAATTCAATTTTCCCCTCACTCAGTCGCTTAACTGGAACAGGTTGAACAAGAGGAAGGACATTAAGGAGAATTATGCGCGCGCGTCTTCCCCACTAGCATCTGGCTGCCCTTTTGATGACAGCCGGCTCTCGCCATAAAACGAACAAACGAAGCGCACCATCTGCTTAGATGTGTAAGAATTATTTTCTTGAGAAGATGGTCTAAGCTCAGGGCGCAATAACTGCCTGATTGCGGGCTGATTATCGTCTAACGCGATGCTGGCTCTTTCAAAACCGCGTACGATTTAAAAAAATACTTCAAACTTCAAACCAGCACAGACTGGGTGATTATTGTTTAACCGCTCTGGATCCTCCAGCAGACGGGAGCTGAGGGTCAAAAAACAGAGTCGTATGCGCAAGTTGAATGCGTCTATGCGAAATTTCGTCCAGAAAGAGGAGAGAGTTGATTGTGGTTTAGCTGCAGACAAACCTGTTGCCAGCTTGTAAATATCACTTGGTTGTTCCGCAGCATCTGATGAATTTCGGCTCGAATATTCATAACAACTTTTGGAGCGAAACTCAAAAGCATTTTTTTAAATGACTGACTCAAAGTTCATGCATAAATTTCTTCAGAAAGTAAACGATTCAGCAAGTAAATTGGAGCTTAAAAACTAAAAACGCACGGGAAACGCTGTGGGACACACTTCTGAGCCAACCCACCCGTAGCTGCTTAAATTAAAAGCAAAAGGTCGGCCGCATATGCGTATCTGGGCTTGTAGTTGGTACTTTTACCGCCAAAGTGGCAAACGACTTAGTATTTGCAGACAAGACTTACAAAAATGCTCAACAAGGGAGTTCGTTACAATCATCTGCACAAACTTCAATCCGGAAAATCCCCACCTATGCACAATGTAGTTTGTCGACTTAGTTTCGTCCTTTGTGTAAATTTATTCGTCATCTTTTTGCAGATTTAAAAAATAAATTTTTACATCTTCTTGGGGGAAAATAATTTTATTCCTAATTTTTAAATTTGGAGGCGTGGTATGTTTGGGCCTTTTGAAAGATTATGAACGTTATACGGAATGCACTGCCCTTTGGCTCGCATAAGATTCAAATGGCTCGTTAGCAGAGGCCAGTTGGCCAATGTCAATTTTCTACGTGCAAATAAATATGTCCAAAATTGTGAACTTAGGTAAATAGGTAAAAGTGGTTTTTTCAATATCTGCAATTATTTGAAAAATTCCTTGAGACTGAAATACTCCC